GGTAACTGTCTTTCAGATTTCTTGGTGTGGCTAGTGAGCACGTCCAGGGCTGCATTTGTTCTTTGAAACATGTCAGTTGATAGTCCATCAATTCATAAGGCCAGTCAGAGTTCCTGTTTAATCTGCATCCACCAGTCAGAGCTTAGTTGACTTTCCCTCAGTCAGAGTCGTCTATTAAACTCAGCTGGTCTTTCAGCATTCCTGGGGTGAGCTATAATTAAGGATCCAAGAAGTGACCCCTAAGTCCTCATGAGAAATTAATTTTAGGCTGCAGCATGTTTTCTTGGCTTTAGGATCTATAGTTGTTAACAACAGTCAGTTTCTCAGGGGAGCCAGGAGATGGCTGATAGTCTCAAGAGAATCAACAGAATGGAACCTTGGAGAGGCTAGGGGCTGCCGATGTTGAGGAGGAGCCCACAGAGACCCCTGCCTTATGCCTGGACAGGAAAATTTCCTTCAGGGAGCTTTGGATCTGAGGCTTCCAGACCTGGGATCCTAAATCTCCTTTTATGGTCCACTTAATGGGCATCCTGGGTACCTTCCCTGAGGTTTCTGGGGTGGAGGAACTGGCTTGTAGTGACAAGGCACTTTGGGCTCTGGTTTGGGTCAGGCGTGAGGGTGACTTGGGCTGGGACGCATTGGGGGCTGTGCTGAGCAGGTGGGTCTACCCCAGGCAAGTCCATTCACTCCAGGCCTCCAAGTTCATCTCAATCTCCCATGAACTGGCTAAGGTGACCTGGTGGCACAGTGGTAAAATTCCCAGCCGCTCACTGAGAGATGGACAATTTGAACTCTCCAGCCACTCTGCTGGGAGAAAGATGAAGCCACCTGCCTGCATGAGGAGTCTGGCTTTAGGAACTCTGAGGAGTGACTATCTGTCCTCATTGTTGGTCTGAGTTGCCTCCTGGACCATCAGTTTGGCCCTGAGGGTGGCTTGGGGAGCAGCGGTACGTCACCAGTGGAATGTTCACCTTCTGCATGGGCGTCCAGTCCAGTTTCAAGCCTGTGCACTTGAGGTGCAGACACTACCCTTCTTGTGGTGAAGGCTGGCAGATGTGGTTCTGATGCTGAACAGGCTTCAGAGGAACTTGGAGACTAGATAAGAGCTCTGGTTGCATAGCACATAGCTTGTTGCTGCTGACCCAAAGGCTATATGTCTCCTGTGATGTGACTCCACCAGCAATTACTTGGGAGAAAGATGAGCAGTTGCCTCCATGAGGATCTACAGCTTCAGAAGCCTGCTGAAAGTTCACTGTGAGTTGGAAGCAGCTTAACAGTAGTGACTAGGCCATCATGATAGATGGAGAAAAGATTGAACAGCTTGCTCAGATCCACAATCAACACCCTTGGCATCAGGAAATCAAAAGATGAGTGGCAGTGGGGAAAATCTGCTGTCAGGGACCTCTCCAGGGCACTAAAGAGCAGCAATGTCAATCTAGAGACTAAGGTGCCCCTGATCCAGGCCTGGATGGTCTTCACAACAATGACCAGGATGACAGAAGAAGAATTGATGCCTTTGAGTTGTGGTGCTGGAGAAGAGGGTTTAACATACCATGTACCGCCAACAGAACTAATAGGTCTATCCTGGAGAGGGTGAAACCAGGTTGCTACTTGGAGGCAAGGATTTAGAAGCTCTGTCTCACATGGTTTTGGAATGTTGCCAGGAAGGACCAGTCCTTGGAGAAGGACATTGTGCTTGGAAAGATGAGGGAGAGGAGAGGAAGACTCTGGGTGAGATGGATTGACACAGTGACTGGCGATGGGGTCAGATGTGTCGGAGATAGTGAGGTTGGCTCAGGATGGGGAGAGGTTCAGAGCCATTGTTTGTAGGATCTCTGAGTCACTTCACTGAGTTGACTTCATAGCGCTTTCATCTTTTCCCCAACTTTTGCCACCCTTGAGTACAGAGAAAGTAAGAGAAGTGAGATACACCGGGACAGAATGGGGGAGTCCTAGATGCTTGCTGGCTCTCCCTTCTCTTGAAGGTGAGGCTGCTGGCCCTCCTTCCAACATGCTCCAGATGCCTTGCTGGACCCAGGGGCAGGGGGTTCCTGGATGGGGCGAGGCTGTCTTGGGTGAAGGAGGTCACTGAGCCCCACCTGCAGCATTAAGTGGGGGCAGGGAGCAGTCCACTAGCCACCCTCAGGTTTATTGGCAGAAGAGCTGTGGCCCAGGGAGAAGCAGGGTGAGCCTGAGGTCCCCTGAGACAGTGGAGGCCTGCACTGTGCCAAGCTGTTGCAGATGTGTTACTCTCTTGGGCTCAATACAGTTGCTTCTCTACCTGAGGCTGGGAACAGGGGCTGGGCATGGCCAAGGAATTGGACTTGTTACCTCCTGGACTCTTCTAGGGAACCAGGGTTGCCTAGAGTCTTTCTTTGCTGCTGTTTCCCCCAGATCTAAGGACGTGGGCTCACTCCATTGCCCAGGTTTGCAGCAGGTCACCCCAGGAGGAAGGCCCTTCAGGAAGAGGCTGAGGTTGTGGCTTCAGGTGGGGCCTGTGACTTCAACTGGGAGCCAACATCTGGAAACTATCAGGCCCCGGAGGGAGTGAGGAGCAGAGGATCAGGTAGGGGATGCCTCCTCCAGGCAGGGGAGCAGTGGTCCTGCTTGACTGGATAGTGGCCTCAGTCCTCCCCGGCCACTGCCTCTTTCACCTGCTGACCACAGCTCCTATAGCCTTGCACTGCTAAGTGCACTGGAGGTCTCAGTTTGGGGCATGGCGTGGGTCTCCTCTTTTGGTGTAAGTGAGGAGAACCATGCCGGAGCTGATAGCTATAGGGTGGGATGAGTGCTGCTTTTCAGGCCTGCTGCAGACTGGGACACAGTGATGGGAAGGGAGGAGGGTCAAAGTGTCTGAGGGGCTGGTTCAGGTGCAGGTTAAAGTAATCAGACAGGTTCAAGTGTGTATGTGGGGGTCTTTCAGAGGTGTTATATAAAGTGTGCTCTGAGACCCAAGTGTGTATTTGGAGTCACTCGGGTTCAGATGTGTGAGGGGAGGCTTTAAGAGTGCAGAGGTCTAGGTGTGTATTTGGAGGTCACTTAGAGGTCCAGGTGTGTTTGTGGGGGACATTCAGAGGTCTAAGTGTATATGTGGCAGTCACTTAGAGATGCAGATTTGTATGTGGGGGTGTTCAAAGGTCCATGTGCATATGTAGGGGTGCTCAGAGATCCAGGTGTTTATGTGAGGCTCACTAAGATTGCCAGGTGTGTATGTGGGGAGTGCTCAGAGGCCCAGGTGTGTTTATGGGGGGAACACAGAGTTCCAGGTGTGTGTGTGTGTGTATATGTGCGGGTCACTCAGAAGTCCAGATGCCTATGTGGGGGGCACTCAGAGGTTCAGGTGCATATGTGGGGGTGTTTAGAGGGCACTCCTTCTTCAAAGTCCAGAATTGTAAGTGGGGGCACTCAGAAGTTCAATGTGCATGTAGGGATGCTCAGAAAGCAAAGTATGCATGTGGGGTTGCTCAGAGGTCTAGGTGTGTATGTGTGGGACACTTAGAACTTGACGTGTATCTATGAGGGACACTCTGAGGTGTAGGTGTGTATGTAGAGGGCACTTGGAGTTCCATGTGTGTATGTGGGGTGTGCTTAAGGGTTCAGGTATGTTTGTGGGGGAACTCAAGAGATTCAGGTGTATATGGGGGGGCACTCAGAGCTCTGGATGTATATGTATATGTGTATGTGAGTGGAGTGCACACAAGTCCAGGTGTGCATGTGGAGAGAATGCTCAGAGGCCCAGGTGTGTATGGGGGTGTACTCAGAGGTCCAGTTGTGTATGGGATTGTGCTCAGAGGTCCAGGTGTGGTAGAAAGTACTCAGAGGTCCAGGTGTGCATGTGGAGAATGCTCAGAGGTCCAGGTGTGTATGGGGGTGTACTCAGAGGCCCAGGTGCGTATGGGGGTGTACTCAGAGGCCCAGGTGTGCATGTGGAGGATGCTCAGAGGCCCAGGTGTGTATGGGGGTGTGCTCAAAGGTCCAGATGTGCATGTAGTGAATGCTCCAGGTGCACATGAGATGTCTCCAATAACTTTTCTGTATGTCATTTTTTGTTGGTGAGTATACACAACAGAGCACAACAAACAGCTTCTCCAGGCACAATTCAGTGACTTTTTTTTTATTGAATAAAGTTTTATTTTTTAAAATGTACAGGTGGTTGGACCTTTTTATGTGTCTTCACCAGCAGCTGGGGCGTCCCCACTCTGTATTTCCGGAGTAAATTTCTCGAGCTCTGTGTTTTGAAACCAGTATGCTAAGTCTTTTCCTGAGCAGCTCCTGAATCAGTGACATTTTCTACGGTCTCCAGTTGTGCAGCTCCGCATGCACAGCTTTTCTGGGTTATTCTTTCTCACTAGTGTGTGTATATTCATTATATATATATTCATTCCACATTTCCCCCACTCCTTCTGATTCACGATTCTCCTATAAATTCTTTTATTAAAATGTTCAGTAATGGTAGCTGCGTCCTAGCACTTGCTACCTGGTACCTACCTGCTTTAGAACTAAAGCTTGTTAGCTGTGAAGGTTTCTTGACTGTTTCCTGGGAGCTCTGGCGGCCCAGTGGTAAACAGTTGTGCTGTCAATCCAAAGGCATGTGTCTTGACTCCACCAGATGCTCTGCTGGAGAGAGATAAGCTGTATCCTGTACGGTTTACAGCCTCTGAAAACCCGCTAGAGGGTCCGCTCTGAGTTGGTTCTGACTTGATGGCATATAGTGACATCCAGGCCTGTGTGGTTTATAAACTACTGGGTTCTTTGATATCCTATTCTGTAGGACCACTTTTTTCTGTGAAAACAGTAGGGATGGGCCAGGTTAGAAACCCATTTCTCTTCACCTGGGTCTCCTAGTTCCAAGTGGTGAAGGCAGAGGTCCAAGGGCATAGGCATCAGGCGACCAGGCCTCCTCTGCAGGTGACACTTGACTTTCTGGGGATGAATTAAAAGACATCCCTGAACAGAGGGGCCCAGAGGATGCCCAGCCTCAATGTACCTTTGTCCTATAGCCTGGCCAACATTCCACTGACCCCTGAGACCCAGCGAGACCAGGAACGGCGGATCCGGCGGGAGATTGCCAACAGTAACGAGCGCCGCCGGATGCAGAGCATCAATGCTGGCTTTCAGTCCCTCAAAACCCTCATTCCTCACACGGACGGAGAGAAGCTCAGCAAGGTGAGCTAGGGTGGGAGGGCCAGCAGGGTTTCCCAGGGGCTGCAACGTAGCCACTCACTGCTAGCCCCTCATGCCCATAGGCAGCCATCCTCCAGCAGACGGCTGAGTACATCTTCTCGCTGGAGCAGGAGAAGACTAGGCTTCTACAGCAGAACACGCAGCTCAAGCGCTTCATCCAGGTACTGCCCCTGGGAGGCCACCTGCCTGGCTATGCCCAGGGTTCAAGCTCCGTTTTTTACCACTGACTCAGCTGCTTCTGGTACTTCTTTCTTGTCTATGTCTTGCTTTACCTGTGCCCCAAATATGGTGGGGGTGCTGTGGCAGGGACTGGGGTGTCTGAGTCTCCTGTGGTTGCCAAGAACACTCCCAACTGGGCATGGTGGTGGGTGGATGAGGGACTCGGTCTAACAGAAACTCGCTCAGTTTGAGAGACTTGAAGTCTGGAATCAAAGCTCTTGGAAAGAATTCTTTGCATCTACTAGCTTCTTGTGCTAGCCTTCCTTGGCATGTTTGCATGTTATTCTAGCCTCTGCCTCTTTCTCCGTGTGTCTGTATTCCCTGTGATTTCTTCTCTGTTTTGTCCTTCTTTAATGACAGCCTGACGTGAGGTTGGGGCTCACTTGACTCCAGTGTGACCTCGTTTTAACTAATTACATCTACACAGACCCTGTTTCTGAGTTGTCACATAATTTTTTAAAGTCATTTTATACTGGTTCATATACAAAACTCATATACATTGTATTTCATATTTATACATTGTTTCACACATTCTTTCATTTACATTGTGTTTAATATGATCATTCCCATACATTGTGCATTGTTGGGTGTTTTTTTTCTTAAATTAAAAAAAAAATTTATTATTTTGTGTGTGTATATCGTCAAATTGGATCTGACTGGTACAGGAGGAGATTGTCCCTCCTTCTCCAGCAGAGCATCTGGTGGATTCGAACTGCGTAGCTCTGGAATTGCAGTGTAGCTTCTTGTCACTAGGCCACCAGAGCTCCCTCTTACATTGTGTTATAAAATTAATCACCATTGATCTATGCCCACTATTACCCTGTCTTTTCAGGTCCCCACTGTGTCTTTCCTAATTCCTAATTCCTTCTCTCCAGCCCATCAAACTCTGTGACCTCATGATTTACCCCCTGCAGGTTATGTCTTAAGGTTTTTGGTGGAAATAATTTTTATTATTTGGGTGAAAGTTTATAGTAGCACATTTGTTTTCCATCTGACAGTTCTGTTAAGAGGAGGGATGGGCAGGGAGAAAAATGCAACAATGAATGAATGGAAATTCAAAGTCTCTGTAAACATTCATTAAAAAAAAAGAAAAGGGGAAAAACACCCCAAACAACCCCTTTTTATTATGATTTAAGTTGCAGTTTACAGAGGAGATTGCTAGTCTAGCAGACAATTCATGCATACATGGTTTTAGGACACTGATTACAATCACTGTGTGACAACACTTTCCCCACTTCTCCCCAATGGTTCTGGGTTTTGTTCATCCTTCTTTCCTCTCCCTCCCTACCTTCTTAGCTCTGTCCCTGGGCAGATGCTGTGCTTGAGGTCCTGTTTGTTCTAGGGACTGAGTACGCCCCGGGTCGATCTTTAAGATGTGTCTGCTGTTTGGCTGAAAGTTGCCATGAATTCCATGCTCAAAGGGCAATGAAGGGCCTGAGTCTCCAGAGTTCCACCAGTCTCTGTTGAATCAGCAAGCAGAAGAGTTTTTGAGAGAAACTCTTCCACCAAAGGGAGAGCTTGGATGATGCACTTGATTGCCTGCCTGCTAACCCGGTAGATTTTGCAGCCTCCCCTCCCCCCACCACCAGGTGCTTTGGAGGAAAAGCCTGGCAATCCACTTGTGGAAAATCAGCTCTTCACACTCTGGTGTGCAGTTCTATGCTGGCACATGTTGTGGAGTTGGAACCTTGGCATGTGGTTTACATTATGCAAATAACTCTGGTTTCTAGGCAACCAGCATGGTATATAGAGCACTTTGCACATTATATGCATGTGTGCATTTTGTGAGGTCCTGTTATCTGCATATGAAAAAGATATGACTCAGGCCAAGGGGTAACCAAGAGATGATGGGAAAAAACAAGTGGCTGCCTTTTTCGGGTTTGCAGAATGTGGCTCTTTCAGGCTATGTTTTCACAGCTCTGATGGCTGCAACAAAGCCCTCCCTGGTGGTGGGAGGGTCAGTTCATATCCGTTCCTTGGGGTCTGTAGGAGCTGAGCGGCTCGTCTCCCAAGCGGCGGCGGGCAGAGGACAAGGACGAGGGCATTGGCTCTCCAGACATCTGGGAGGATGAGAAGGCGGAGGACCTGAGGCGGGAGATGATCGAGCTTCGGCAGCAACTGGACAAGGAGCGCTCTGTGCGCATGATGCTGGAGGAGCAGGTGAGGCAGCGCCTCCTGCTGGCCGCGGGGCGCTCGTGCAGCCAGACCAGATGTCTTCCACCGGCTTTGCCCCAGGACAGTGCTGACAGGTGGTTGTTAAGGACCTCGACTTGGCTCCACCTTAGCAATGCCATCACAGCAGAATATTGCCAGGTCCCACGCCATCCTCACAGCCCTTGCTGCCCGTTGTTCCAGTGCTGTGTCAGTCCATCTGACTGAACTTTCCTCTTCTTCACTCAAGATTTAGCCAAGTGGCCTGTGTTGTAACCCCGGGCCTGATAAGGGCAGGCAGGAGCTGCTTGGCGGCAGAGGATGGGTGGTCTCCCCTCATTAAGATTTATTGCCTGGGAAACAGAGGGAGGGTCCCTGGGGGTTGGAACCAACTTGACAGCAGAGTTTTTGGTTTGGGTTTCTTTACCAAGCACGGTATCTTTCTCCAGAGACTGGCTCTTCCAGATAACGTGCTCAAAGTACAGGAGACAGATGGAGCCCTGGTGGCGCACTGCATTTAGTGTTCAGCTGCTAACTGAAAGGTTGGTGGCTCACTTAGCGATTCTGTAAGGGAGCAGAAATCAAACTCATTCCTACAGAGTTTGACTGAATCATAGTGACCCATAGGACAGTGTGATAGAATAGAATTGCCCCTTAGTGTTTCCAAGTTGTAATCTTTATGGGGGCTTCATCTTTCTCCCAGTGGGTTTGAACTACTGACCTTTGGAGCTTCTGCTTCTGTAGATGACAGCAAGAAAACCCTGTGGGACAGTTCCACTCTGAACTAACTATGAATCAAAATTAGTCTGAGGTCCCTCCAAAGCAAGATTTTATACCCGAGCAGTCAAATTTATTCTGACATACGGTGACCCTCTATTGGGGGTCTTCAGTTGTAAATCTTTATGGGAGGATACTTTCCATCTTTCTTCCATGGAGAACAACTGGTGCATTTAAGCCACCAACCTTTCACTTAATTGCCTATACATAATGCTTCAGGCCACCAGGGCTCCTTTGTACTGGGCTCCTTTGCCTCGAAGTGTAGCATTCATTGATGGTGCACCAGATGGGCCTCCAACCTTTAGGGGTCTAGTCTCAGTGGTAGTGTTCAGAAGTGAAGATATAACCATCACACAATGTCACCCAACATTTCCCGCGTGATGTCCTGAGGATCTTAGGTCTGGTTCTAGAGGGAGTGGAGTGGGGCATCCCATGGAGATGACTTGGGAGGAGGGTAAGGACGTTTCAGGCAGAGGGAACAACATGACAGAGCCTAGGAGTGGGAGGGAGGCACATGGTGTAATGAGGCCAGAGTGGAGAAGGACCTAGTGGCCTGGCTTATTCTGCAGGTGGTTTGTGCTATGAGGGAATCTTTGGAAGGGTGAATTGTCTGCTTTTGGGGCAGCCTGTTTGGGACCTTGGCTTTGGGGTGCCCCTCATTGTGGTCCATGCTCTGAGCCAGCTGCTCTGCCACAGGTTCGCTCTCTGGAGGCCCACATGTACCCCGAGAAGCTCAAGGTGATAGCGCAGCAGGTGCAGCTACAACAGCAGCAGGAGCAGGTGCGGATGCTGCACCAGGAGAAACTAGAGCGAGAACAGCAGCACTTGCGTACCCAGGTGAGCGGGAAAGCAGCGCCTATGTGCCCAGGTACAAGCAGATGAGCAGGAAGTGCACGCATGCAGCGAAATCAGTACAGCTCGAGGCACCTGTGAAGGGCCTCGCTGGCTGCGTCAGGGCCCCACTGACTTCAGGAGCTCTCATATTCAGTATTGCGCCTCTGAATATTCAGCTGGGCCAACACAAAGCTTAAATTGTAACATTCTAGACCTTTTTTTAGCCTTTCTGGATTCTAGCTGTTTTACATATAGTCTTGTAGGGAGTTGTGCTGCTAATGCAATCGCCACGGCTCTTTGGTGGTGTGAATCCACCAGCAGTTCTGGAGGAAAGATGGATGATCTCCTCCTTTGTGATTTTATAGCTTTGGACCCCATTTGGAAAGTCAGCCATGAGTATGTCCTGACTTGACTATGAGAGAGAGAAAGAGGTCATATTGACAGCTGGCAGCCGCCCTCTGAGGCCTGAAGTTATTCCTGTCACATAGACAAGGAAGTAGAGACATATTTAAGTCACAGCCCCACGGAGTTCCCGTGCTAAGTGATTTGGAGCAGGGTTTGAAGTCTGGAGCAGCACTGGGTCCATGTCAGACACCTGCCTGGAGCTCCAAAGTGAACGGCCCATATATATATTCCTTTTCCTTCATTATTGAAAGTCAGAGTGGTCAGGGTTGTGTCCTGCAGTAGACAGGCGGGGGTGCAGGGGCTCAGGAGGGACCCTGTGGATAGGGATTGAAGGCCTCTTTCTGTGTTGCAGCTTCTGCCCCCTCCAGCCCCCACCCACCACCCCACAGTGATTGTGCCAGCGCCACCTCCCCCACCCTCCCACCACATCAACGTCGTCACCATGGGCCCCTCCTCAGTCATCAACTCTGTCTCCACGTCCCGGCAAAACCTGGACACTATCGTGCAGGTACTTGGGCTCAGGGATAAGTGGCTCACTTGGCTTCTGGGGTGGGGCTTGTGCACTGGGAACCTGGGTGGATGCCCATCCCCAAGGCCCACTGGGTGGGTGGTCGCTTTATGGAGTGAACTTGGGTGGTGTCCAGCATGTCTGAAGGATGAGGTGGCCTAGTAAACCTGGTTCTTCATCCTACATGGAGTTTGCTGAGGGAACACTGTCTCCTCCTCCCTGCTTTTTATTTAACTTTTTTTTTTTTTATGATTTGATGTATAGTTTATAGAACAAATTGGTTTTTCCATTCACCCATTCATACACATTTTTTAGGCCATTAATTATCATCCCCGGGAGGTTCCCTTTTCCATTTGTCCTTCTGTTCCTTCTTTTAGTTTCAGGCTTGAATTATAAGTAGGGGACAATCTTAGAAGTTCCACTAGTTGCTATCAGACAATAAGCCTTGGGCTCTGGAGACAGAGTGCATAGAGAGTCAGAGAGCCCATAGCCTGAGCCTCTGGTTCAAGTCTACCAGCCACATGGGAAAGAAGTGCCATCTTCTGTGTGATTTATAGTCTCCAAAACTCAGAGAGGGGCTGTGAGTTGGTTTAGACATGCTGGCAGTGATTTTTTTTCTTTTTTTTTTTAGAATAGTAGATATTTTTATCTTTTTTCTTTTTAAAATTTTCTTATTGTTGTTGAGGGTATACACAGTTCATGTTTCTGGAGGGTCAGCCATGATTTGGCAATGAGGGTGTGGTTAGCATGTAAAGTTCTGGGAGGTTTTACAGGTACCTTCCCTCTCCCATTCTGAATTGTTCTTCTGTTAACATCAATTCACTGTCCCCACAACATCCTGGTCTAATCATTAAAGTCACTGTTGTCACTTTGATTCCACACAGATACTTCTATAAAAACTCAGTGCCTAGAGACAAAACATTTTTCACTGTTGTTGGTACCCTTGAGTCAGCCCTGACTCACAGTGTCCAACAGGACAAAACACTGCCCAGTCCTCTGGCTGTCCTCTAATTCACAGCCACTTGGCCTTCCTCTTTTTTACTGACCCTCTACTTTCTCAGGCCTGGTGTCTTCCAGGGCCTGGCTCCTCCAGATCACATGCTCACAGTATATGAAATAACCCCTCACCATCCTTCCTTCTGAGGAGTGTCCTGACATTGGTTTACTAATTAAACTAATCCTTTGGTTTTTAAGAAGACTTTAGGACTGTTGGTTTAGGGTTTAAAGATTATTTGAGGGCAGTGGTTTCAAGGATTCATCTAGCCTCTAGGACCTGGCTGAGGAGACCCCTTTGCTCTCAGAGCCTAGGCTACAGAGTTTAAATATCTAGCTCTCAGGTTAATCCAAAATTTTCTTTCCCTTTCATGTTTCTGGAACCTAGTGGTTGGTCTTTTGTTTCACTGAGCGTTGACCCAGGGGAGCTGCAGGCTTGAAGGGGGACTCCAGGTCATATTCTCAGGGGTTCCACTATCTCTATAAGACTAGTAACCTCAGATGGGAGGAGCGGTGATAAGATTAATTGTTCTCTAGTCCTGGTGCTGTGGCCAGCTTTGGCCTAGCCTCTCTGAGGACCTAAGAACATCAAATAAATTAGTTCATTAATAAACCAAAGAAGCCAAATGGGAAAAAGGAAAAAACCTAAAACCCAAACGTTCAACTTTTGGAATTTCAGTTGCACACAGACTCAGTAAATTGAGTAACAAACTTAGTAACAAGACTAATAAGTTAACAGGCATGTATATAGGAATGTGGGAAGGCCACTCACCACTTCAAGCAACACAGAGGGTTTTCTCAAGTTTGTTTCCTGGGACTCTGACCTGGAAGTACAGTGGGGTGGGATGGATGTGGGGTTCATGGAAGTGTGTCCCCCAGGCGATCCAGCACATCGAGGGCACACAGGACCAGCAGGAAGACGAGCGGCGGGTGGTCATTGTGAAGCAGGCCCGCGGTGGCCCTGAGGTCCACACCTCGGACACTACCTCCGACTCCGAGTCCTCTGACACAATGGACCAGAGCCGGGAGGAGCTGGTGGGAGACGGGGAGCTTCCCTGACCACCCCCCACCCCCCGCCCTCTCCTCTCCCTTCCAGGGTCAGGGGTGGGAGAGACGTGGGGCGAATGAGTGACAAATTTTTACAAAATGATCACATCATTTAGGTCTCTTTTATGACCTTCCTTTTCAATACTGTAAGTCCACCTTTGAATGGAGCCAAACAGCCCACGGCACAGGCTGGGCTGGCTTGGGCCACGGGTGAGCATGGGGATGCTAGGGCTGAGCCTCCACCCCGAGGCCAGGAATGCAGCTGTGCACACTGACCTCTCTCTGCCAAAACAAAAACAAAAACAAAAACAACAAAAAACAAAACTCAAAAAAATATTTTTATCCCCCCACTTAAACATTTTTTTAAGAACAGGAAAATGAAATAAAACCCCAGGCTCACTCTTCTCTCCCCAGAACCAGCCCTGTGACTGGCGGTCTTTAACCCCTTTCCACTTCTTTTTGGGTTTTTCCATTTTCCTTTAAGCACTTACATGGGTTGGGGGTCTGGCTGGGTTCGGGCTTTCTGGGGGTCCGACATTGTTTCTTGGTTTGGGGGTTTGCTGCTGCCCTCCTCCCCCATCCCCGCCCCCCTCAGCACTAGGGTCAGCCCTTCTCCATGGCCTCCCAGCCCCCTCCTCTCCCAGGTTTCTTTCCCATCTTCAATCCCAAAAATGTCTTTGTCTCTAGCTTTTTGTTTGTTGTTGGTTTTTTAACTTCCCTCTCTTTTATTTTTGTTTTTTACAATTTTGAGGTCTTTGTGTTCAAGGAGAAGCGATTCTATTTTGTTAAGAATGTGGGGAAAAAAGAAGAGGCTACTGTGCCTTTATAAGAAACAAAATAAAGTTTGTACTTTGTTTTTTAGATTCTTTGTTTCCTGGGTACAAGTTCTCCAAAGAAGGTGGGGAGGGCTTTGTGGATAGAGCTTTTTAAAAAGAAAAAAAAAACAACTGTGGAGTCGATTTGGATTCACGTGTTTAAGTGTAAAGCTGTGCTCCATTTTTTATTGCCAATATTTCAGAAGTAAATTTTCACATACTGCTGGGCAAGTTCAAACTGCCAACGTGTCTGCTAGTAGTTGAGTGCTTATTCATTGTCCACATCCTGGGACTCCTGGGTTAGAATTTTAAAACACCATTGCTGTGAGAGGGTTCCTGCTTCTAATAACCCTGAAAGATGGACTAGTCCGGTCCCACAGAGTCCAGGTCTGTAATCTTTTTGGAAGAGCTCTGGTGGAGTAGTCTGTAAGGAATTCCACTGCTAACCCACAGGTGGCACTTCTCTGACACTTCAAATCCACTCTGCTTCTGAAAATTGGGCGATGAACAAGGATGACAGAAATTTGAGTTAAGTGTCAGAGAAGAGTGCTGAAAGTTCCATGGACTGCCAAAAGACCAATAAATATATCGTGGTAAGGATGCATCCAGGGTGCTCCTTGGAAGCAAGGATAGTGAAAGTTTGTCTCACGTAACATTAGGCATGTTGTTAGGCATGTTCAAGCCCTTGGAAAAGGACATCATGCTTGGAAAGATGGAGAGTCAACAAAGGAGAGAAGACCCTCAAGATGAGTTGACACCATGACTGCAGCAATGGGCGCAAGTATATCAGAGATGAGGATGGGACAGGATAGAGCAAGGTTCAGAACCACTGTTCATTCATAAAGTGGCTAGAAGTTATAGTTGACATGATGACACCTAACAATAGCAGCAATTCCTTAAGGGAAAGATGGATAATCTCTTCCTGCTCAATTTACAGCTTGTAAAAATCTGTTGGTGGTTCAGCTATGAGCTGGCTCCAACTCCATAGCAGAGTTGGGTTGAATCTTTGTGGGAGCAGATTGCCACCTCTTTCCCAAGGACTGTCAGTGGGTTTGAACTACTGACTTTCTGGATAGCAGAGGAAAGCTTAAGCACTGCTCCACCAGGGCTTCTTCGGCTACAGTAACCAAACCCAAACCACTGGTGATGAGTTGGTGGGTTTCAATGACTAAATCTTTCTTCTGGGAGCAATTGCTCAATTCAAATCCCCAACTTTTCAGTTAGTAGCACAGCATGCTGTACCCTACATCATGAGGGTTCCTTCTGGGCTAAAGTAGGAGGTCCTTAGGTATCTCAGAGGGGCACTGGATGTGAGTATGGGAAACCTTCTAATTATGTGGTCCTGGGATGAGAAATCAGGATCACCAGATTTCCTGACATCCCTTTATGTGTTGTTCTGTAAAGGTGGGAGATGGAGTTGGGGGCTAAATGATAGGCAAGAAAAAAAAATGAATAGGGCCCAAACATGGAGAAAAAGATACAGGGTGTTCAAGGATCCTAGCTGACCCCTAGATTGCTGCTTTAGCTTGTGTAACCTCCTTGAACTTTAGTCTCATCTGTAGAAGGGTAGTGGAGCATCCCCTTACAGTGCAAAGTTTGAGAGCTCACTGCTTGGAGTTGGTCTGTCGTACCAGTCAGTTCCACTGCAGGAGAGGAACTTGATCTCTAGGCTTCAGTTTCCTTATCAGAATCCAAATAGAAAAACCTCAGAGCCAACCCATTGCCATTAATTACAGTGGTCCTTCATGGGGTTCAAACCTTTATGGGAAGAGATGGCCTATCTTTCGCCTATAAAACAGCTAGCGGAGTTTAAAGTAGTCAGATGTGTTTATGTTTTGATCAGAAACTGTTGTACCATCTAGATGGCACTCTGGTGAGTTTTCAGAGGCATTTAATTGCTTGGGAAGAGATTGCCCATCCTTCTCCCATAGAGCAACTGGTGGATTTGAACTGCATGCCTTTGGGTTTGCAGTGCAGGTTCTTACCACTAAACCACAAGAGTACGCTTTATCAGAAAGTAGAGAGTGATAATGGCACAAAGTATTGAATCTAACTGGGAATGGGGTGGTTTTAAAAATTTTGTAAATCTTCATGGCCAGAGTGTCCAGCTCATTGTTTTCCCCCATCTGGTAGCATTAACTGCTGCTTTGTCTAGATGAAACCTGTGATAGGTTTCGCTCTGTTAACCCATGGTTGAAAGCTCAACAGATACCACAGGAGAAGGGCCCTTGTGATCTACTTCCATGAAGACTGCAGACAAGGAAACGCTGTCAGACAGACAGTCTTACTCTGCAAAACACAGGGTCACTGTGACTTGGAGCAACTTTTAGGGTGATAGCTTTTTTGAGGGGGCTGGAAGATGCATATTTTTTAGTGCAAGAAAGGATTTGAAGTGTATACTCACATTGCAACAGGTACAGGGGGACTGAAGCCAAAGAGTTAAAACTAGCTGTTGAGTCTGATGGCTCCAGACATAATAAGCTAATTGAGAAGACAGGCAGGAGCCTGTACCCTCCTTTTTTTTTATAATTAAAAAAAAAATTAAGTGGCATTTACAATCTGTAAAATTACATTTTTATCATACCTGGTTAAGTGTGGACTCTGGTGGGTAGCTAGTCTGAAACAAGTTGCGCTGTTCACTGGCTCCCAACAGAAAGATATGCGGTCTCCTGTTAAGCATTTATAGCATCAGAAACCCAGTTGAGGGATGCTGTCTTGGAAAGGGACATCAGTGCTTGAAAAAATGGAGGGTCAGAGGAAGAGGTAGATAGACACTCTCAACGAGACGGGTTCACACCCCAACTGCAGCAGTGGGCTCGAGTGTGCCAGAGGTGATGAGGATGGCACAGGATAGTTGGAGTTCAGATCTGTTGTTCACAGGGAAGCAATGAATTGTCCTACACCTGAAGCTACCTGGTCGCTGTAAGGAGTACTTGGTTTGACCGCACCTAACAACAACATCAAGTCTGAGGGTCAGCTAGAATTGGAGTGAAGACACCCTGCTTCCTAAGGCCAGTTGAATCTCAAAGTTAAACCCGCTGCTGTAATGAACTCAGGGACCCTATAATGCAGAAAAGAATGACTGTGCAATTTCCAGAACTTTATGGAAGCAGAGCGCTGGTAGGTTTAAATGACAGCTTTCAGCTACGTGTTGGGTGCACCACCAGGACTCCTAAGACAGGACTCCTTTTCCTTCCTTCCCGCACCAGGCAACAGCAGCAGCGCCTGAGAAAACCAGCAGAGAGCGCTGTGCACACAACGCTCGGGTCTGCAGGAATGGCGAACCCATCTCTCTCCAGCGTTGCGGCACTGCTCGGTTTCCATTGGCCAAAAGTGGCGCTTGGAGACGGAGCTGGAGAACCCGCCTCCCTTCTGGGAGGACACGCAGGGCCGGGAAAAGTCGGTGTTCTCACCAGCAGGCGGCGGAAGTTAAGGACCCCTCCCGCCCCCCACCCCGCCATAGCCCGCCCCTTCCCGGATGCTCCCTGCGCCTCTCCCACAGTGCGCATGCTTTTTGGCACCTGGTCTCTATTCCCTCCCGCCAGCATCCTTGTCTGGCTGCGACCCGCGCCACCCGCCTCATCTCAACGGCTCTTACGCAGGCTTCTGAATACGCCGTGAATGTGCGGGCCTGCTCGCTCCCGAAATGAGGGGGTTTAGTTCTCTGCTGTCGGCGCTGAGGGGCTGGTTAGGCCCGGTTGGCGCGTTTTTGCGGCCAGCGTCTGGGTCCGTCTCAGCTCGGAGGCCACCTTCCCCGGCCCCGAGGTGAGGAAACTGCAAGTTTGGCTAAGGGTATGGGAGCACGCGTAGCTGCCAATTGGAGCCACACACATAATTTAGAAAGTTCCAGAATTATTTTCCACCTGCTGTGCAAGCTCTGGTGGCTTAGTGGTAATGCCAACCTGGAGGCATGAGTTTCTTGGCCTCCGCCCGGCTTGCTGAACAGTAACGGTGGGCGCTGACCATCCAGCTGGCCTTGAGGCGTGACCCGCTGATGGTCGGTGATCAGACAGTTCGCACTCAACGGCACGTAAGGACAGCAAATGAGTAAATGCGATTTTACTAGGTTTCATTTCCACAGAAAGTAGCTATCCTTTATGATTACAACAGGAGGTCCCTGGGAGGGAGGCCTTCTCCACGTGGTGCGTTCGCCGTTGAGCCTTTGACTGGTGCTGTTGCTGAGAATATGGACAGCAG